TGTGTTGTTGCGAGTGTGATTGAGGGTGACGTAATAGAGCCGATATAGGATTTTGTGGAGAGGTTATTTGAGAGGCTGCAGCTGCGAACTTCGAACCCCAAGCACCACCCGTCGAGCAACAACAGAAAAGAGACGATGTGGTGGCAATGGTCGTTCAAAAAGGCAGTCAAAGTATGGCCGAAGAATGTTGGAGCGACGGTGGAACGATGGAAAAGCCGAAGAATGCGCAATGCAGATCAGTGAAGTAGTCAATTATGAACGGTGACGGCGGGTAGGTTCCATCATGACATGATGGCGAGACACAGCGGACATGACGGAGCTGACTGACGGTGTGGGGTTGTCACGCAGTTGCGATCGTGAGGCGGATCAAAGATAAATCGCGCATTTAAAGGAGAAGTGTAGTATAAAATAGTAAAAGGGGGGTGGGAAGGGGAAGGTAAAGTGGACAAGGAAGGGAAGAGAAAGTCAAGTTAAGTGAAGGAAGCGAAGGGGAATATCAATCTATGGGACGATGGAGACGGGGTAGTTTAAGGAAGAACAGGAAAGGTGCGGACTTTGCGGGCACAGAACGAGGCGATCGGGGGAGGGGCGCCGATTAGAGACTAGACTAGGAAAGTAGCATGATTATCCATTATCCAGTAGCCGGTGGAGAAAAGGAGAATAATACTCAGTCCTCGAGTTCTTTACTCTACTTCTCTTCCTTGGGTCTCTTCTGTCCCTCGCTCTCTTATGTTACTCTCTTTTTCTTTTTTTTCCCTGTTCCTTTTTGTCCCTCTTTTTTCCCTCTTCTGTGCTGTTACTTGGCGGATGGAAGAAAAGGCACGGAAGTGAATGGAAACGGAAATGGAAAGGTCACAGGTGGTAAAGGTAGGTAATTAACCAATGTTACTTGATTAGTAGTAAGGTCAAGAGTAAAGGTTGGTAACTTAACGAAGGTACTAGATTACCAGTCACTTGGTAGTAATTGGGCCAACTCCGCTGGTTTGCAAACCTCGTAACCCTCGTATTATGCAGCCACGGCCGATGACGGAGACCAGACCCATTCATCGCCCATTCATTCAAGTTGCTTGCCACTCGTTACTCTGCCAAGCCTGACCATACAATACCGACCCTAGTATTCTACAACAGTGACGAATTTCAGGGATTGGGAACCCACATTAGGATGGAAGGGAGGGAGAGAGAAAGAGCGAGAGAGAAAGAGCAAGAGAGAAAGAGAAAGAGAAATTGATTTGACTCAGACAATCGTCTACTGTACAGCACATGGAAAAAATCATATGAACATGTTGTTGGTCTGTTACCCACCACCATAACTACCTAGTACTGGTATGCGCTGTCCGCATTTTGCCTGCCCAGTCATCCTCTCTCTTTCCTCGACCTATCAGATCCGCAATAGAACCTGTTCTCAATTTTTGTACCTCCCGGGCACATGACCTCGTCACCTCACAAGCTGAGAAGATCTATTTCACAGATACATCATGTGCTTTGCACGCGACCCGCTCTGCGTCATGAAGTCATTCATTCAGCTGCTGACTACAACTGACCTCGTCGCTTGCATGACTACTCGGTACTAAAGAATGTAGCTAACAATTAAGCAAAAGTGTCGCCCACCTCAGCAGCCAATGAGACCTTCCGTTGGGTACCGTACTGTAGGTATGCGCTGTACTTCAAAGAGTGGCTATGATGAAAAGAATGCTTGCCCGTTCATCAAACAAAGCAACCCTGTCAACAAGGTGCAGACTGCAGAAAAGCTTATTGACACAGGTCAATAATAGTAGCCCTTGAAACTGGTCCATTGATGCAAGATATGAATAAAGACAACAATTAACTTTTCGATCCACATATGACGAGAGGGCTCCCATGGCGGGTTCAACCCTGGGGTTCCCAGGTAGGACAGAACTTTATCAGTGTTGTTTATTCTCGCCTCAGCCAAGCCTTGATTATTATATCATAGATAGAAAAATTGGAGCAAAGCGTAAGGTCATCTCTAGATGATATCGCAAGCTAGCATTATTCCGAATTTCGAAGTGGGGTTCAAAAGGCAATCATCACATCCCAGGGCGGGCGGGCCTCACAACTTCGAAGCCTTTGGTCTTTTTCTTCGACTTCCACGACGATCGCCAGGATCGGTCCTCCCCTGTGGCACAGGTGTTTTCCGTTCGTTCTACCCTAGCATTGATCTGCGATGCCATCGGCCGACCGTAGTATTGGTCGGCCTCGCGTTTGGAATAATCGCCGTCGCCGCTGATCGTCGTCGTGTCTTCGTCCAGGATGCTCAGGTCGACAGAGTCCATGCTGGAATCCACCGATTCATCCGAGCTGTGAGACTGCCTTGGGAGGGTGGAGAAATGGTGCGACGATGAAGAAACGGGAGTCATGGGCCGTGGAGCCCGGAAGTACGATGGAAATTCATTCGTGCTCGGTATCCCTATGGATGGAGGATAGGCTGAGATGGCCTTCATTAGCATATCACAGTCGCCAAGATACCATGCTCAGATAATACACACCCACGGGGCGAAGCTCTGGAAGCTCCGTGAATGAAGTCTTCCGCGTTGATCGTTGCGAAAGTTGACCAATGCCATAAATCTAGGAAAAGATCCATTAGTCATTCGGGCTAAGTTAGTTATTGATTGTCTGGATTGTATCCACATACCGGTGCTTCTCGAGGCTGCACGAGGGGGCCACGATGGGAATGCACGAGTCCCACTTTGCGAAGTATAAAGAGCGCTATGCTTATGATGCAAGGGACGAGAAACCCGAAGAACATCATCGTTGCATATAGGAATAGGATGCTGTATGCTAATATACCCTGGTTGCGCTGGGGTGCCTCAGACTGCGGGAGGAAGGCACAGCTCATAACAAGGCTGGCAAGCCTTCCAATCGAAAAGCAGGCAGGTCGCCAGGCTGGGAAGTCCTGGCAGTTCCAAAGCAGGCAGACAAGATTGAGTGTCTCACAAATGATGAGAACTACAACCTGGGCAAGGCCCGATCGCTGCAATGCCCCGATCGCTATGCCTCTTACAATCGGAATGCCGTACAAGACACAGGAAACCCACGTTCCGGAATGATGCTTGGGAAACAAGCTTCCGTGAGAAAAGGCCCATTGTCTGTTGGTCTTGATTAGATACCGCACGGTAAAGCCCAAAGACACAGCAAGGAGACCAACAACCAAAACCGCGAAGAAGGTACGGTAGGTCGGATGCCATGATGTCAGGAGGAGTTGACTTGTAGAGAAGGTTACCAGCGGGAAGAGGAAATGGTCGAGCACCGCTCGAAGGATACTCCATCCAGTACGCTGGCATTGTTTCAATGACTCTTCTTGAAGGTCCGACAGCTCAATCGCTTGTCGCCTGCGGAAAATCCTCGACGCCCATTGGAATCCGAAAGGAACTTGCACCAGCGCCACAATCCCCACGATGACGAGGAGAAGATTGACAATTGCATTGACCCAGAGATCACTGATGGTAGTCCCACCGAGGACCTGCGTCATCTCCTCCAGGCCCCAAGTCGAATTAGTGGCATATAGACCATCTTGAACACCAGGGTAGGCGAATCCATGTGTGACAGGCCAATTCCGGAAGATGAGCGACGACCAGGCCAACTCCCCGACGATTGCTCGGAAGAAGCCCGGGTATGAAAGCGTGAGACAGCTAGTCAAGAAGATGAATTGAAGAAATTGCAGACAATCGCCTAGTCCTTGTACGTGGGATTGGGCTGGGTCTCGGGATGGGTCGGCCAGCTCGTACCGAAACATGCTTCTTCCATTTGTATGAAAGAGCCTGAGCGGTCCTGTAGCTATTCCAAACAAGACCATAATCAAGAATGGAAGAGCTTTCAATAACTTCGATGTCACTGGGCCGATATAAGGCGTGATATGGGCAGTGACACAAGTTATTTCCTGGCCGTCCAACCACAGATGGATGGTTGTGTCTAGTGTGTGCAGGGCATAGGAGTGGTTGAGATGGTAGGAGGTCTCGTAAATGGCATAATTGTGAAGGCCTCCCATCATGTGCGCTTGTATTTGGCCTTGACTCGACATACTGAAGCGCTCCCAATAAGGGTCTACGCCACATCTTCCCCTACTGTCTCCCTGAAAGCCCACCGGACCGCCCAGGACACTCACATTCACCACCAACTGTGCCAGGGACCCATTGAGAGAGTTACACTCGGATTCATAATTTCCTGTTAGCTTAAGAAGTAGCGTCGGGCCATCATGCTCTGGGTTAGCCAGTGAGCCAGTTAAGGATTGCTGCTGAAAGCTGATGGATTCAGTGGGTGCAGTAATGGAAGGATTGCAATCCCAGCGACGAACAAAGGCGGCCTGCGCCGAAAGCAGCAGAAATAGAGCCCACAGCAGAAGGGTCAACATCAGGTACAAGACATATCAAACCAGAACCAAGATTAGGCATGGTATAGCCGGATGACGAAGGGGAGAGGAAGGAGGAGGGGGAGGAAAGAGAAGAGGATTCCAAGGGAGTGTATGAAGAAGATCCCCCATCATATTGGGGAGAGTGTTTAAAGTGCCAAGTGGGCGAGTAGGCAGTGTAGAATCGAAGTACTCCACCGGGGCAGGCAGCCTTTCTCCAGGGGATGGCGGCACCGCCGAGCCTGAGGAAGAAACCCAAGAGAAGAAAATTTCTTCTGGTGGCCGTTGAATTAGTGAACCCGACTTAGTGTAGACTTGGCCCGATGGATGATGTGGGGAGAAACTACCCGAAATAGTAGTGTTTACTATTTACAGTCGGGTATGTCTCAGTCTCAGGGCTGAGCAGCAATCAGCTCCATTCTGCAAATGCGAGTCACAATGTGCTCAATAGAATCTCTTCCAAGTATACGGCGTCCGGGGTAAGTATAAGTATACCAAGAGCACGGAGCAATCCTCAGCATGCATGCATGCATGCATGAGCGTATCATCCCATCTCATGCGTCGCTTGACCACATCTCCCCCGTCTTTAGTTCACGGTCATCTATCTACCTGCCATCTAAGCAACGACACCTTCCCCATGTATACCAACGCACTTGTCGATCTCAATCACGAGGTGCAAGGCCAGCTCTGGGTCGACAAGGTGAACGAAACCTACAGAGCAGGTCATCTCTGCCGCTGGGTGTCGAGTTTTCATCCCGAACAGCTTCCCTGTCAACTGGATGGCACCTTTCACCATGGCGCGTACAATGCCGGCATCAAGATGGTCTTCGGTGACGGCACTGCCTGGATAGTCCGTTTTCCTCGAGTAAGAAAAGTCTGCGACGACTTCATCGACGAGAAGGTTGCCATGGAGGTTACGGCGCTGAACCTCTACCACAATAGCACTACGATCCCGGTGCCGAAAGTTCACGCGTGGGGGCCCGCTACCAGCAACCCGCTCGGTCTCGGCCCGTTCATCATCATGGACTTCATTCACGGCGTGAGCCTTAGCCACCTTCTCCAAGCCCCTAACGCCTTGTGCCCCACCAGAGTGATGCGGGAGGACTTAGCGATCGTGAACTCGAGATCATCTATAGGCAACTGGCGAATTCCATGCTCCAGCTTTTCGAACTCGATTTTTTTGACCAGATAGGCAGTTTGCCGTCGCCGCAGGCTGACACCCAAAGTCATACACTGCTACGACCGCTAACCTTCAAGGCACATAGTATTCTGCAAAATGGAGGGGTCAACACGTTCGGTATGTGTGGTCCCCTTGCCTTGCCCTTGACTTTGGACCCCCAAAGCTGTGACTGAGCGAGTGCTTAACAAAGCGACGGATTGTCCAGGCGACCGAACCCAGGGGTTTGCGACAACGACGGAGTATTTTCAATACGTCGCCGACCAAGACTGGGAACAGCTCATCCACCAGCCAAACTCAACTGTTGGCTTCTACGATGCGAAAAACAAATACCTGGCGTTCAAGGTTCTACGAGCACTGATACCTGACTTGGTCAATGCGAAGTATGACCGCTGCAAGTTCGAGCTGATTTGCGACGATCTTGGTCTGGCGAATCTGATCGTCCGTGGCAGTAAAGACTTGACTGTTGTCGGTGTAATCGACCTCGAGGGGTCGTACATTGGACCCGCGCAGCTGTTCGGCTCGGCGCCGTGGTGGCTTCTCCAAGACAGGCCCGTCAACAGCTCATGGGATTTCACCGGTGACGAGCCGCCCGAAATCGCCACCCGCTACTTCAGATGCCTAGACATCTTTATAGACGTATTGGAGGAAGAGGAAGCGAAAATGCCAGGGCATGATGAGCGAGAGCTTTCCAGTCTGGTAAAGTGGTCGCGCGCCTCTGGGGCCATGTGGCTGCACATGCTCCTCTCTTCTGGTTTCAATGACCATCGCTCATCTCCTTTCACCCAACTGCGCCGCCATCTAGGACCCACGGAATGGGCGAGGCGCGAGAGAGAATCCGACAACGCGGAAGAGCTCGAGGCCTTCGCGACCCGGAAGGTGCGGGATCTAGACCAGTATGATGAAGCCTTGGAGGCCATGGAAAAGAGCAAGACACTCGTCGACGACGGTAGAATGACAAGGCACGAGTTGCTGAGCCACGGATCTTCTCGTCCGGTGAACAGCAACCCATAAGTCTCGGATAAAGATCGTAATTAGACCGATGGGTCAGTACAGTACAGTACATGCTCCATTTGAGAGGCATGTTTGAACAGGTTTCTGTACCGATTGCCGGAGGTGCTCAACACCAAAACCCCTGATGTCGTCGGGATATGGTGCCGGCACTCAATCTGAACCCGTATATCCGAAGATAGACGAGGAGAATTCAATGCCGGCCGGGACGGACGGGCCCAGGGGATTGACGGACGGCTAGGGCGGCCGCGGGTTCGAAGAATCTGCCAGATTCGGCAGTACGCTCCGGGGATTACCCTGGAAATCCGAATGCCGCGGTCGTTCTTGTTCGAGGGTTGCCGAAGAGCAATGCATGAAACGAATGACTGCAGCGGAGCGATACCTTAAGTTCCTGGCAGACAATAATTCACAGTAGTACATAAGCGTGCTCCGTTCATTGGATAAATTATGTGCGTTTGACAGATGACATCAAGAAGTCAGGGATTCATGCAGGAAACCATTTGTCAGTGCCACAAGCATTGGTCTGGCATACTCGGTACGGTACAGCCTTCTACGCTACAGCTACGCGGTTCATCGGAGCAGATAAAGAGAGGGTTGGTGAAACTGGGAAAGAGATTCGCATTGAAGGACGTGGTTGCTCCGAATAAACCTTGGACAAAAGACATAGAATAGAAAAAACTCCGGTCGTGTCAACAGTCTCCGATAAGACTACTTGGGGATATCACAAATTTGAGAAATCAGTTAGCAAGAAGAAAGACACCCAGGTCACCGTTTTTGGATTTGTGTTAAAAAGGATATTTCAACTTTTGTTTTGTGACTATCGCGCTTCACGCATGCATCAAGCACGAATGGCCTCCACAACAAAAATCCATTTAAGCGGCAAGCTCGCGGATCTTCTGCTCGACGCGAGCCTTGCGCTCGTCGTGGGTGAGGCGGACCTTGCGGAACTTCTTGCTCTCGGCCTTCCACTCCTCCTTGGTCTTCTTGGAGTCGGCATCCTCGTCCTTCTTGAAGGGGTCCTCGCGGATGGCCTTGTGGGCCTCGGTGTAGAGGTCCTCGATGTCACCGGCCTCGATGCCAGCCTCGGTGTACTTGTGGAACTGGCCACGGAAGCGCTCCTCGTCGTCATCGGCGAGACCCTCCATGTACTCAGCGACGTGACCGCCGAAGATGTAGTTGCGGAGAGTCTCAGCGTCGAGCTCCTCAGCCTCGATGTCGAAACCGGGGAAGCGGGACTCGGAGTGGGGGACTATGGAGTTTTGTTAGCACCGAGTTCGATTGAGATGTATACGCTGTGGGAACATACCGAGGACACCAGCGTCAGAGCAGCCCTTCATGGCACCGAAGACACGGGCACCAGTGGAGGTGCGCTATGATAAATCGTTAGCTTGGCTCAAGCGCTAGGTGAAATCCGGGAAAACTCACGGCAAGACCGACGTCGAGGACGACCTTGAAGGGGCGGCGCTCGCCATCATCGGTCTCAGCGGCCTCGGTGAGAGTGTACTCTCCATCAGCCTCCTCAACACCAGTGAAGGTCTCGTCGAGGTTGAGCTTCTTGAGGGCACGGCGACCGACAAGGAGACCGGTGGCGTAGGCGGCAGCCCAGTTGGTCAGACCGTTGGTGATGCCATAGCGCTTGAGCTCGTGGGAGTAGGCAGCGGCGAAAACCTTGTCACCGGAGATCTCAGAGTAGACGATCTGGCAGATGACTGTGCCGGAAGTCAGTCAGAATGCGTTTCCCATGTAGATCGATCGAAGAGTGGAGTAGACATACCGTCACGGTTGGTGAAGCGGACGACCAGGCGGTACTTGGGGGCATTGTACTTGTTCTTGGCCTGGGTGATCAAGCGCTTACGGGCATAGTAGTCGGTCTTACCCTCACGGCGACGACGGTACTTAGTCTGGTAGCGGCTGTGGAATTAATTAGTACCTCATCCAATGCGACCGGCGAACCAAAGAATTAACTCACCTGTAGTAAGCGCTGTTCTTGACCTGCTTGTGGAAAGGCTAGATCACGAAAACAAGCGAGTCAGCAATTTGCGCTTCAGAAGGAAATCCGACTTGTCCGAAGCATCTTGCAAAGACCCGAAATTTCGTCCCACAAATCCCGCTAGGGCGGGGGTGGTGGGAAAATCGAAATCCCATTTGGAGATGAAGGAGCAGTCGAGAACAATCGCATATCGTGTATTGAAATTCGAATTGTTCGGGTGCTAGAACGAGGTCTAACTCACCATTTTGACGGTGACCGGGTGATGAGGACCGAGTTGTCGACGTTGGCTGCAAAGGAAGAAGGAGGGAAAATTCGTGGACTGACTTTGTGGAAGGCCTCGCTTAGCGCTGCCTGCATCCCGGCCAGGAATTGCGGTTGGCGACGAGCGGGCGGCCGCTTGGCCACCTTACTATACAGAGAACACCAAGTATACCCCAACAGTATGCCAATCTGTAATAAGCGGATTTTCTGATTCAATTCGATTGCAGAATCTACTTTAACAATTATTGACAAATATATTACCTCGAAAGTCTACCACAGAAGATTACACTTGCAGTAGTAATCAAAAGTGTTGGCAACAACTAAAGGCCAACCAGCCTCTATAGTCGCGCCTTATCTGAACCTGCTTGTAACTGGAGACCAGTCATCTTCTCCAGCTCTCGAACAGCATCTTGCGTTCGTCCAAGATTCACCTTCAAAGTCCTCATCCCTGCCTTCTTTGCGCCCTTCAAGTTCTCCCCGATGTCATCGAGGAAGACCACATCCACTGCGTGCACCTCGCCTTGACCTTTCTCCTTGGCGATTCGATTCATATCCCGCAGTGCAGCTTCATAGATCTTCTGGTCCGGCTTCCGAAGGCCTGTATGTGCCGATGATATGAAAAAGTCAAACTGGCTTTTCCTCTCGTCGAGATCACGATTGTACGGATGTCCGTCCGGGAAGATGACGGTATTCGACAGCGCCCCCAAGATGAATTGCCCTGACTCCTTCAGTTTCTTCAAGGCCGGAAACATGTGAGGGTCCGGCGTTCGCGATACCCTCATCATCTCCCAGAACAGAAACTCGGCATCGAGCTTAGGCACCGGAGGGCTGGGCGACTGCGTCCCGGTCGGATTTTCGCCCCGGATCTTCTCCTGGAATTGCTTCCAGAGACTCGGGCTCTGTAGGTCATTCTGGAACCCGGCGAAGAAGTCGGCATCCATCTTGATATCCCCTCGTTCGAGTCGGTGCCAGCTGCCGTTGGGCGCAGTACGCGAGATGCTGAAGTTCACCCATCCTGGGGGGATGTTGTGGGCAAGTTCGTAGTCCAGAATGGCCTGGAAGGGGGAGAGGACCTACTGATCATTAGTATCTGGCTGTTCAGATGTCTGGATCTGCATGGAGAGGTGCCTCGGTCTTACACACACTCCTCCGATGTCGAACAGGAGGCCTCTAGGTCGTTGGTTGTCTGACATGATGAATCTGTGCAACTCAGCGCAGCTTAGGGTAAGTGGACGGAAGTCGCATCAGAAGTTCAACAAATGTCAAGTCAGTAAATGTAGAAATGCGCTGCCGATCAATGTTGGACATTGATGGTCTCTCCTGCGGAGTAATGCCAGATTGCCGAGGTTAGATAGAGGACCTGCAATGGCGCTTTCTCATCGATCAATGCCAACCAGCTCCGTTGGGGTATCACCTCGGCTCCCAGGTGGCGGTGTCTATGGCATAGTACTACATCGAGCTGCAGGATAGTCTGCAGACCTCTTGAGGATGCAACAAATGCAAGGAGCTAATGTTTGATCATCCGGTCGTTGTACGGGTGAGTCGTAAATGATCACGTGGCCGCGTTATCGATAGGATGGCGGCACGCGTCGACGGCGAGAATCAATTGAATCTCCTCCTATCTCAAAACCACCGACTCATCGTCATTATGGGGCCATGGACTCGACCCGTACCATTTCCGAGTTGAAGTCGTCCTTCATCCGAGCGCAAGTGCGCATTCTGTCTGAAAGCCTCCAGCCGCCCGAGGATTGGCGACATTATGCGTCTCAGTCCACCGAGGATGAGCTGAGCGATAAGGTGGTCGGAGATGCTCTAAAGAGATGTGAGTACTTGTCTCGAGTGTCGAATTATTGATTTTCTGCTGTCATCTTGAATATCGGCCCAACCTTGATTTGGTCAGGACTGACTCGGTCACAGTAAATGCGTCCCTGAAACAGCACAGTCGGATCGTTTACTCGTCCCAGGCCATTCAACATGTCGCACAGCAAATCGCACGTCTTTACTGGTCCTCCGTGAATGAATCGATGCGCGACCGGGGCTCTTTGCTCCAAGGGGTGGAACAATCTGTGGATTTATCCAACCACCTGTGAGCTACGCCTCAGTCTTTCTCGGCTACGAGATAAGACTTTTCAAAGTTTGACAGTCTGACTGTATCCCAGGAATATCGCGCAATTGCCCCTGGAATTGGAGGATCCGAATGCGAGTGATGAGGATCGAGCAAGGTATGGATTACCTCGATGGCAGGTTTCAATTTCATCTGACTAACAGTAGTACAGATACCAAGAGCTACGCGAACATCTGGTCGCCCTGGACAGTCGTCGGAAACAGCGACAGCGGCGGTTGAACCAGTTGCGACAGCTACAGCGCTTACTGGAGCCCTTCCAGAACCCGCAGGCTAACATCCAACCGAATTTGGTCACAAGAGATGGAGAGTTGGTTCAAGAGCTGGACAAAATGCGGATGCTGGTTGCACGCGTAGGGGGTCGGATTGAGCAGGGCAAGAAGAAGCTCAACAATGACGAGCAGGACGCTTCGTACTCGCTAGAAGGGGATGAGAAGTTGGAAGCCTTGTTGGACATGGCTGAATGAGAGAACTCTAGCAGAACGAACGGGGATGAGGGTATACAGAAAAACAAAAATGGTTAGAAGGAAAAACAGGTAGAGAATCAAAACAAAAAATCACAGAATCAAGAGAACCCGGTGGACCACATGCTTAGAGGCTGCATATACATAAATACCATCTGTCTAATTGTTTTCCCCGGAAAAGGTACAGCGGCCGAGACTGGTAGCGCAGCTACATGGATCAGATTGCCCTACACAATCCTCATCAGTAAGATGATCCCAATCACCGGGCCTGCCGTTGTTTCTGTCTAAAATTAGGGGGAGAAAGTTTCCAATGCAGTTTGGTAGAATTCTGGAAAGGTGCAAGGGGGCAAGGCAACGATTGACCTACAGTTGCATTAACCACCGCAGGTGCCATTTAAGTGAGTAAGTCAGTTGTTGAGTTGTTTATTCTTAATTGTGCAGGTCCCGGGCGCACCTGCTGCTGCTGCTGCTGCTTGTTGCTGTGCTTGTGCTTGCTTTTCCTTCTTCCTTCTTCCTATTTCTTTTTTTCTTCCTCTCTTCTTTCGGGGATTGTGTTAACTCTATTGTGCTACGCCTACTCCTTCATCTTATCTAACACCCTTGACAGTTATCTTCAACTTCACTCAACTCTCCATGTGCCTGACCCTGCGTGTGCCTGTGCTTCTACCTCAGCCTCCAGCCCATTTCATGAATCGTCCAAGATGGGAGAAGCCGATGTCTTCACCGCCCCCAGTTATGGCGCTAACCGGGCTAGTGCTCGGATGAATTTCTCCGGATCTCCGGCGCTTGACCCTTTTGGCTCAACACCGGGAGTAGTGAACAACACGGAGCGCAATGACGACGGCCACAATCGCCAACCTCATCTGGCCTCTTCGTCTGTGGCTTCAGCTCCTGCCTCTGCCTGTGTATCTGCAGCGGTCGCTTTTCCAACACTTGACTTTTCTTCCTTTCCCGATCTCAGCCCATTGATTCCACCCGACCGAAGGATCAAGAGTGAACCCGTTTCTCCAGTCCGCCGCACCACCAACGCGTCCACAACCCCGTCTGCTTCCAAGGCAGCCTTTGTCCGTGGACATCGTCGTCGTTCCACCCACGTTACTCGTCGCGACCTCGACAAATTCCGAAAAGAGGTCCTTGGCGTAGAGAGCCCAGGTTTCGGATTCGACGACGATCTCAAGCTTCCCGCATCCACCAATCCTGCCCGAGACCCTCAGTTTGAAGCCTTGAACCGCGCTTTCGAGGCGGCAAGCATGTCCTTGAATAACGCTGGGGGCATGGCTGGCAACAATCCCGGCGCAAACATGTACGCCGGCTATGTGGATAACACCGGAGGTGGCCCGAACATGTCTAATGTTCCTCGTCAATCTATGTCGCCTGCCATGCCACATACCCCTAGTCAGGTTAATGGCGCCGGAATGCCTGGGATGAACGGTGGTATGCCCCTCAATGCGGGACAGCAGATGGATCTTCATCATCTCTACGACATGGTCCTTGAGTTGAGTGAGGTGTTGAAGAACAACCGTGAGACTACAAAGAGTATTGTCAACAGTGCGGAGGAGATCATGGTATGATTTTTTCCACCTGGAAAATGGGCTTCGCATTGCTGACGGTCTTAGAAACGCTCTTCTGCCGAAGGATTAAACCCGAGCATTCAGCAAGTGAATGGCGAACTTTCAGGTTGGTGGAATGACCATCCGATACGTGAGCACCATACTAATTAGCCCAGCTGCCCGCATTGCGGAACTTGAGCGCGCCCTCGCGAAAGAGAAACGTCTCGTTGAAATCCTTCGGAACGAGCAGGTCGAAAATACGAAACTGATTGGAGAATACGAGGCGGCCGTGGGTGTTATGGTGGAACAGATTCGCAACTACTGCCAGAACAACAACCTTCACTATCTCGCGCAGAAACGTCACTATAACAACCTTCTCCAAGCCGAGCGAGACTCTCACCTGGAAAGTCGATTGGATCGGGACTACTGGCATGCACAGACCATGAAATGCGCCGAAATGATCCGCACCGCTTATCGCCTGCGCTGTGAGGAAGAGGAAACCCCGATCCGCATCGTGGCTGGCCTCCAGAACGAAGTGCGTGCCTACCGCAACGCCCTCGGGATGGAGCCCGAGAAGCCAGAAGAGGAATACGGATGGGAGATCCTGAAGGACGTCCCCGGCGGTTCCGAGTGAAGTAACACGGCAGCTTCCGTACCCTGGCGGTATGCTTGAGCTATGACGATGACGACTTGGTTATCGGCTTTTTTTTATTCGAAGCACATGACATTGCAAATGGCGTTCTGGAGGAGCACGTGTTACTTACTGGATTGTTTTCTCGGAAAGATACCCATCTTCGCATGATTTGTATCACTGTCTTCTGCTGGTTATGGGGGGATACTATGTACCTCATTGGACATTCGCATCGGATCTCTCGCCCAGCCTCAAGATCTGAGATTTGTGTTCAAACAGCTTGCATGTATCTTACATAAAGATCTAATTATGCTTTGCTGAACTTCTTCTTTTCTTTCAGTCTCTAATCTACTCCGTATAGAACACCTCATCCAACACCTTCCACCAACCCGGACCCTCAGCACTACCCACAGCCCCAGGGATTGGACTCTCCTTCACCATCAAACAAGGTCAATACGACGAACCCCGACACCCCCTCCGTTAGGGAGAGAGAGAACAAAGAAGGAATCTCACATACCTGCATCCCATCCGTCATCGCCCACCACTCGCGCACCTTGGGATTCGCCCGCATCCGCTCCATATCCCCCTCATAATCCTCCCCGATATACTTGAACGTCGCGAACAACGTCCGCTCGTTGTCGAAGAAGATGGAATCTAAATGTCGGGGTATCAGCCCCAGTAGCTAAGCCTTTTTTTTGGGGTTGTGTCATGAGTGCAGAGTATGTTCCAGGGGGTTAGGCAGTCTTCTCCTCCTGTTGGGTTTTGCCTTCTTCTTAGGGCGGTATGGTGATGTAGGCAGGTAGATAGGTAGCTAGGAAAAGGAGACCTACAATCCCGGATATTACACTCGTGGATCTGCCGCAGCACCTCGGGCCAGACGTTGGCGTGGCATTCTTTGTACGCTGCGACCGCGGCGGGTTTGAGGTGGACAATCTGCGCGATGCGGCGGGTGGGTGCGGGCATTTTTGATATCGTTTGTTGTTGATTTTGTATAGGTTGAGGTTGTGGTAGAGGGAGAAGGGATTTGGGGGTCGGTGAGGTGTCGTTGGTGGTGGTGGTGGTGGTGATGAGTTGCTATGCGATGCTCGGAGGGAGTGGGCGGTGGGTTGATGGCGATTGAGGGTTGTGAGGGTTTGTCTAGGAGATGGAAGGAGGGGTTCATTGAGCTTTTTGAATGGCTCGGGGTGTTTTGACCCGAGTCGTGGGGTGAGAGGGGTGGTGGTGGTGATCTTGACGGTTTGGTGAGGTGGGCTTGGCGGAGATATATACTGCTGTACAAGGTTGTTTGCTGAGTGGTGCGGAGAGGTGAGGTTCTGATGCTAGGGTCCCGGTTTGGTGTAAATACTCGCAGGGAGCTTGTGGTTGCTGTTGTTTATACTTCCAAATTCATGGGCGAGGAAGGTGTGGTTCTATATATTGTGGCGCGTGGGTGCCATGTGGAAGTTGTGGTGAGCCAAAGTTTATATATCATATCGTAAACCCGAGATTAAGAACATCATAGAAGAGAAGTACGCGCTTGGTATCCATCATAAAACCAGTCATCAATAAACCAGAAAACAATTCGAAGCAGAACAACCGCTCTACCGTTGTACAACTTGCTTCTTCGACACGGGTCGGATCCACGACACAAGCACGTTCGCCCCGATCGAGATCGCCCCGATGATCCAGAGGGACCTGGAGTAGTCCGAACCATTGTAGCGGAATATGATCGCGAAGATGATCCCGCCAAGGTTGCCCATTCCTCCCACTGCACCGGAGACAACACCTGCACATCCGTTAGTATACCCGAGATCAAAAAGACAGCTTCCGCGAGAACGTACCATTGGCAAACGGATAGACATGCGGCACCAAGGCAAAGTTGGCACCATTGCACGACTCCAGGAAAAACGCAAGCCCAGCGATGAGCCCGAACATGGTGGATTCGGACTTGGGATTCGTCAGCCCAATCGCCAATTCAAATGCACCCATGACGACGCCAAGGAAGACAAGCAAGATCTTCTTCGACCACAGATTCTGCGTCCGTCGAAAGAGCAGATCGGCTAGAAAACCGCCCGCGGGGCGAAAGACGACGTTGAGCAGACCGAACATGGCGGCCCATTGCCCGGTCTTGGTCTGACCCATATGGGGGAAGTTCGCGGAGTAATACTCGCCCAGGTTGGAGTTGATGGCGAGCTCTGCACCAAAGGAGCAGGCGTAAGGGATGGCGACGGCGGCGGTGGATAGACTAAACAGTACCCCCATGGCCTCTTTGCGTGTGGGGGCCACCACAGTATCCGTTCGGAGGGCATCGAACTCGGCGATGGTCTGGGAATTAGAGCCAAGAGACACGGGGGTTTGTGCGCCTTTCTTTTCCACGTCTGCCATGACGTTGGTCATAGATGGCGTGCTGGAAGGCTGTGCGGACCTCATTTCCGCCTTGAGGTCGACAATGTTGCCGTCTGACTCGCCAGCCATCTCTCGAGCCCAGAGGTGGCGCTCTGACCATTTCCCCGTGGGTGTGTCCTCGCATAAGAAGAGCATCGCCACGGCGATAACGATAATGATGATGAAAGGGACAATGAAAGCAACACGCCAGGCTTTGTGTGGTGTGAGGCCTTGCGAGTAGACCAGCGAATCGTAGACAGCGGGCATCACGAAGCTAAACTGCATCAGTTGACGTCTTGCAATGCTGCCTCCGAGAGTTGACAACGTACTATGTGATGCCACCACCAGCATTACCCCAACCTCCCGCAAGGGCATTGGCCATTCCGACAATCTTCTTGTCAAAGAACCCAGTGCACCAGACCTGACAGGGCACGAATGTGCCTCCCAAAATCCCAATGAAAAACCGTAGCGCGATCAGTCCCTTAGGCGTGGTGACCAGACCAGCCATGGCAGTGGGGATCGAACCGCTGAGCAGCAGTCCGATGAACACCAGCCGCGGTCCGAATCGATCACACAGAGGGCCTGCCACGAATCTCACAAGTAGTCTAGACAATCGGTCAACTGCTTGTTTTGCACATGTGAGGGTTCTGTGTCTTACGTTGCTAGCAGGGCAACAATGTTCGAGTTTGCCACGTCTTGCTGTGTCATATGCAGGTCTTTTCGGATTGTGACGGTCAACTAGTTGAGCTCGGAGTGTTAGTCATTTCGCTTCATACTGGTCAAGGAGGAAGGCTCTCCCACTCACCAATGGCGGAAAAGCATACCACGAGAGGAATGCAACCATGAACCCGAGCCATGAGAAGAAGAAAACCCGTCCATATCGATCGAATGGGTTGAGAACTGGAATAGACTGTGCTTTGCGATTACTTGGGTTGATCTCGGGCGAGACAAAGAGAAGTTTGATGAAGTCCATGGTCAGTCACACCGTGTACGAAGGTGTCTGAGTGATGGTTTAGGAATAGAAACTGAAGTACAAGACACAAGAAGAGTTATAGGACTATAGATTGAGCTCGAGGGCACCGCAATAGGAAACACCACCTGGGTGCGAAAAAGAGAATAGACCAACGGACCGCTAGGCTAGACGACGGTGCTATGGGTCCGGATGTTTTCCTGTGTTCTAGGACAAGGGAGGCAGATTTAGTCCAGACTAGGAGGAGAAAATTGCACTTCATATATAGACCACGGTTGGAATCACATCTCCGAAGCATGAGTACCGCAGTATAATGATGCACCTGGCAAACAATCCCCCATGCCAGAGCAATGACTCTATCTCCTAGGAGATATACAGATGAAAGCCATGACTGTCTCAACCCGAGATTAGGACACATGCCCAGTCGCATATCTCCCAGCAGCTCGTAACGGCACTGGGCAGTGCGGCAGCAGGAAAATCATAATCGAGGCAAAAATCACAAAGCCAATCCGGAGAGCCACGCGCAGTGATCCACTCGTCGGACAGTGCTAATATGGTAGTGGATACCGCAGCTGGTAGCGCAGCAGCAGCACAGGACTAGCCGGAGATGACCTCAGGGTTCGTGGTATGGAGAGAAGATCCAGACCCATTTCTCTACCCCATGTCGAGAAGTGGCCAACGAGGGTGATTCAACCGGCCAACAGGCCAAGAGATAAGGTAAAGGGACCCTGCACGGCAAAGGAGTTGGTTGATAGGCGTGGCGCTGATACTGAGGCTGATAAGGATGTAAATCTGGGGAGAACAACTCCGCGGAGGTCCCAGGACAGTCAGGAAGGTTTCTTGGTTATCTATCAGTAAGGTATCAGCAGCGAGACGGCAGTGACAGGCCCAAGTCGACCGGTAAGTGGGCCTCGGTCCTCAGGCCCATCTCCATCGGCAGCTAGAAAAATTTTCGCTGGGAATGGATCATCCCGGTTTCTTGGTGTTGCTTGACTTTCGTCAATCTGCCTAACCGGCTATAGTCTCTCCTCCAAATTAGTCCCGACTAGTCTCTGAAACGACCTTGCTGAATGGTCATCCGTGGTGGATGGGAGGAGCATTGTGTCTCCATCTCGATGGAGACTCAGAAAAGGCGGGTGTTTCGGAGCGGTGTCAGAAGCTCTGAAGCCAATTTTTTCTTTTCATTTTTGGTTCATGGATTCAAGATACACTGCTGAGGTGAATACGGAGTAGATTGAAGGTTGTGAGAGAGCAAGCCACGGTTCGTAAAGCGAATCTGAGTGGACGATAGGGGGGTGGATGATAAGGGGGACTGGGGGGGAGTGTCGACGATAATAATAGGGGAGGTGGAAGTTTGTTTTTCAGGACTCGGGACGGATTGATCCATGGGTACTAAAAGCAGTTAGTGGAGATCAGGTGCCCACCGCCTGCACAGACCACGCGATGGGCTGATGTTCGGCAGTCAGTTGGCCGTCCAATCACATTCCATACATTAGACAAACTGCATTTGGAACGTGATGTTTCGTACCCTAATCTCCTGAAGTGATAATATGTCCCTCCCCTGCTACGGTACTAGATTCAATTGCCTTGAAATAGGCGATGTCTTGAAATAACAGAAAAATGATAGAAACGAAAAATAATTGAGTAAAACTGGAAGAAAGTGTGTGTTCCTATGCAGTTATTACCCCCCGTACAGTAAGGCCCACACAAAATCTCTTCTGCCGTTTAAGGAAGCTTCCGGGACATCCATACGTATGATGGAATGAGATGATTCCTCCTTATGTTTCTTGTATCAAAATCCAGGCTTTGGCCTTACAACGATGCTCCACTCAGCAAAGTCTCTGTGTAGCATATGCAAAGTTGTCGTAGGTATAATAATAGTGCTGTTAACATCAACTTGTCTTCATTAATTTACAGAATTGGCACATGAGTTTCCAGCCGACGCACTGGCAACCCCAGGTATCTAACATAGCTTCGTGACGACTTCATCAACGCGAGAATTTGCAGCCTCTACCAATCAATCACTCCAGATAGCACCGCCCGCTTATTGGCCGGTGTCTTCTCAACCGTCTTCTTCCCACAGATACCCCGGTACTTCCTGTCATATTTCTGGAATGGGTCCGGTGCTTCTCCCTTCTTCACTTTCCATTTCTCTGTTCCGAGGAGCGAGTCCAGCTCGTCCACCGGGGGCAGCTTCAGGTAGACCCAACCATCAGCACGCTCTTCCACGGGAAATGTGGCAATGTCCATGCTCTCGTCGTTGGAACAGCGACCTGCCTGCTCCCCATTAAGCTCGAAGTTGCGCTTGTGATTTGGGCATGACACCCAGTACTTGCCGGCATCATCATCGCCGATCAAGCCATCGGACAGGACAAAAGCACGCTTATGAGGGCACATCTGCTGGGTCGCATAGAATTTGCCCTTAATCTTGAAGACAGCCAGCTGGGTGTCCCCGCGTTTGAGGTTTGCGGATGTAATGCCATCCGAGAAATGGTCTGCTTTGATCATAGGCTGCCACGAAAGACCGGACCATTGGTGGCCCCTGAAATCCGCCTTTGCAGGCTCATTAGACCAATAGGTGGGTCTTTCTTGGCCACGCTCCTTGAGGACCTCCACAGTCTCGACTGTCTCATCTGTGTTGGCGAATTGTTGGAAGTGTTTGCGCCGCTTGGGATCTCGGATTGTTTCCGTCCATTCGCAGAAATAACCGTCCACGAGCTCCTGCATTTGCTGCTCCATCTCCGCGCCAATCCCAAGCTTATCATCAACCACTACTTCCCGCAGGTACTCGATTCCACCAGGAAGGTTCTCTATCCAGCGGGCTGTTCGCTGAAGCTTATCCGCTGTGCGGATATAGAAAATGAGATACCGATCGATGAGGGGGATCACTTTCTCGGGCGGCACATCTTTGGCTAGGATCTCCGAGTGCCGGGGCTTGGCACCTCCATTGCCTCCGACGAAGATATTGAAGCCCTTCTCGGTGGAAATTAGGCCAAAACTGAAGCATGTTAGCCTGATGTATCACTGAAGTCGAGAGATTTGTCCCACTTACTCCTTGTTCTGTGCCTCGGCACATTCTCTTACACACCCAGAAACAGCACCTTTGAGCTTGTGAGGCGATCGGAGACTCTTGTAGCGCTCTTCTAGCCGGATGGCCATTCCAACGCTGTCACCAATACCGAAACGGCACCAAGTCGTGCCCACACAGCTCTGAAAAGAGAGGTTAGTCATTTCTTACGATATAGCATGAAATTCGGTTGGTCTCACCTTAACAGTTCGCAGGGACTTGGCATAAGCATGACCACTCTCCATACCCGCATTCACGAGTTCTGTCCAAATGTCAAGGAGATCCTGCTTCTTTGCCCCGAACATGTCGATACGCTGACCTCCAGTGATCTTGCAGTATAGGCTGTATTTCTTTGCCACTTGTCCAATGGCAATCAACTTGTCTGCGGTAATCTCACCTCCCGGAACACGGGGAACCACAGAGAATGTACCGTTGCGCTGGATATTAGCAAGAAACCGGTCATTCGTCTCTTGTAAGTCATGGTATCCTTTATCCATGATATGGGGGTTGAAGAGACTCGAGAGAATGGATGCGATCGCAGGCTTGCACAATTCGCAGCCAAGCGACTCGGGGTTCTTTCCGACTGCCCCCATCACATCTTCGAAAGTCTTCAGCTGTTTCACAGCGATGATATTGTACAGATCCACTCGTGAATGTGGGATGTGAGTACATACTATGCGAATGTCAGTTCCCAATTCTTAGGTGAGGGGAAGTCAACATACAGTTGTTCGAGACTTCTTGGCCCATGTCCTGCATGGTCTTGTTGAAGATCGACTGCACTAAGGGCATGCAGCCGCCACAACCGGTCCCTGCTTTAGTGCACGATTTAACCTCGCCGATGGTTTTGCAGGTGCCACTTTTGATCTTGGCAACCAAATCCCCTTTGGTAACATTATGACAAGCACAGATCTGGGTACTGTCGTCACTGTCCATCTGTTAGCCAATGCATGTAGTATGAAAAAGAAGCAAAACTTACAGGTCGTCTCCATTCTCCTCTCCGTCATTTTGCGCACCCAGGATAAACTGACTAGGAGGCACCTCTAGCTCTTTCTGCAATTTGACCATTTGGTTCAGTTTGAGGTAGTCCTTCGTATCTCCGATCATCATTCCGCCGAGCAAATATTTGCCATCCATCGTGAACAAGTACTTTTTGTAGACGCCACTGAAAGGATCCTTGTAGGTGAGTGCTTTCACTGATGATTCACTTTCCAACTCAGCCTCAGTGTCTTTCCGGTCGGCTCGAAGTGAGGGCCTTTGACCCGGCAGAAACTTGGGCCCATCCCTGTCAGCGAAGAAATCGCCGAAGCTGGCAACATCCACACCTAAGAGCTTCAATTTGGTGCTCAAGTCAGGCCTTGTGAAACTCTTTGGCTCCTTGTCAGGATTTGTCAGATTGTATGCCAAGACATCGGCCATCTCAATACCCGGCGCTATGATACCGAATGTCTGGTTTCCCCAGCTTGCGCATTCGCCGACAGCATAAATATCCTCAATGGATGTTTGCAGACTGCGAGAGTCGATTAGATAACGGTTGGTCGGCGTGAAGTGCATACACAATCATACCTTTCATTAATGACAAAACCTCCTCGTCCCGCACACTGAATGCCGGCGGATTGCCCCAGCTCGTCTCTGGGGCGTACTCCGATCTGGAAAGATGGTTAACTTGAGAACATTCGCAACATCAGATGAGAAAAGAAGCATACAGCAAAGCAAATGCAAGAGCAGTCAATCTCCTCGCCATCCTCGAAGACGATTCCCATGACGTTGTTGTCAGCGTCGGTCTTGATAGTCGCTACACGCTTCTGGTGCAGCACATCCAAGCCCAGCTCTCGGATTTTGCGTGTCACGAGCGTCCCTGCGTCTCCATCGAGCTGTCTGGCCAACACCCACTTGTTACGATCAATCAGTTTCACATTTCCAAAGTCTCCAAGATCGGTCATGGCCTTCGCTGCTTCGAGACCTAGCAAGCCTCCGCCAACTGTGACTCCTGTCTCGCCTTTATGCTTTGACGCGAACTCAATGAGATTCTCGAGGTCAGAGATGGTCCGGTAGACGAAAATCCCTTTTGCATCATGACCAGGAGTGTGAGTGGGGAGGACAGCATCAGAGCCAGTAGCAAGGACAAGAATGTCGTAGGTGATGGTATCGCCTGTTGATGTCTTGACTAACTTGCGTTGGGGGATGATCTCGGTTACTCGTGTGTTGAGGTGGTAGTCGAAGGACCTATCTTTGACCGATCCATACTGATTGAAGTCAGTTACCACCCATGTGCAGCATCTGGGTCACGGTTGGCTTACCCATTCTGTGGGGTTCAGATACAAGTCTTCGATCTTGCGGTGCTCGAAGAAGGAGGATAGGCCGACCCGATTGTATGCGACATGAGGCTCCTCCCCAATGACAAGAATATCGTATTGTCGACGATCTGCATCCTGCTTGATGATTTTCTCGCTATAGGAAGGCA